GTGCTAATGTTGTGCAGTTGCCAGGACAGATTTGATCATATTTGACCAAAATTATTTTAAATATTAAACTTTCAAGGAGTGTTAAGTGTTAAAACAATATATATAAATTTTGAGGTGGATAGTTTACAGCTGCTTGCAAAATATGACTTGCCAATGAAGCAACATACTTTAATAGTCCCGTTAAATGCATGAGGGTGTGGTATATATATATATATATATATATATATATATATTTATTTATTTTTATTTTTTTTTTACATTTTACCTTATTTGTATAGTTGTATTTTATATTTAATCTGTATATCTGTATTTATGTTCCACTGTTAGTGTTATCTGTATGCACCAAGGGTCTGAGAGTAACGCAATTTCAATTCTCTGTGTGTATGTGCTGTACATGTGGAAGAATTGACAATAAAGCAGACTTGACTTGACTTGAGTATTGAGTATCAAGTCATACTCAAATCGACATTGTGTATTATTGAGTGTTGGGCCCTGTACGCATGTCAGAATGAAGAGCAGCTCTGGCTCTTGTTTTCAAGTGGCAAACAATTGCTTCTTTCTTTCTTACTTACCATTGCCTATAAAATTTCAATAGTTGTTTGTTCTGATCAGATCAACTGAACATTTGCAGCCACGAGGCATTGTTCGAATTCAAACTTGTCAAACCAGTCTGCGACATAAATTTCCCCACAGAAGAAATACAATGAGTGAGACAGCAAGGACTAGCGTGTCGAAGCGAATCAAGTCAAGTTACTAGAGGTAGATATAGGCACGATATTCAAATAGAATAAACCTGGCGGTCATGTGCTCTTGAACAGGAAAGACAGGTGTTCTGTCGTCTGAACTCTTAGAAAGGAACGATTCGTTCATGTCTGGAAATGATCCCTTAGAAAAGAACATTTTATTCACAACAACAATGAAAAGTGTCATTATGATTTATTTACGTATGCACTGTCTCCCTGTAGACAGACCTCTTATAATAACGCATAATTTCGTAGAATAAGGAAAGGTGTGGCATATGATTGATTATGTGAGCGCCAATCATATTTTAGGATTACACGTTGATCCCGCCCTTCTTTAGTTAACTGTCCAATCAAGAAACAGATTACTTCCGCTCGCCTGCCTCATTGAACGCAGATTGTACGACGAGGCGTTTTGCCTGGAATGAAAAACAGGTTGAACGTGAAGACCTACTCAAAGCCTGGGATATTTTACTCAAAATTCTTCATTTGTGCCTTTTGAAAGCAAAGTAGAGGCAACTTTTTTTTCTCGAAGTGACTGCCCAAGAAGCCCAAGGCGTCTTACTGGACTTCCCGAACAAAATACACACAGCCCGAGTGAGTAATAACAATTTATTTATCTTCAGGGACCGCAAGCAAAACATTTACCGCGTTGTTTATGCATAAACGTGACAAAAAAATCTTAAATGTTTAGTCTTTGACGGGAGTGTCAAAAGAAGTTATTTTGAAAACTCGAGTATTGACTTCTTTCATTGTTTTTTGTGTGTCCTGTTTTGCTCGAGCCAACGGTCGGGTGCACTTGACAGCGCGAGCTCTCCGGGTCAAGTGCACCCGATTGTTGAGCTAAACTGGACAAACAAAACAATGAAACGAGCCTACTATCCTTGAGGCATGGAAGCAATCGGCTTTATTTCAGCAGAGAGTGTTGACGCGGAGCTAGACTTTACTGACATCAACGGGTGGGTTCGCCTTGAGCAACAGGGCAAACTCATCAGTCATCGTAAGTGCTCAACTGTTAGGGTTGGCTTGACATGCTCAATTAAGTATAATAAAGTGAATGTGTATCAGATCGTTTATATAATTTCACCTAGTGCTGATGCTTTTGGGTTGACAGTAGTGAAGCCATGTGCTGGTCTCCACTGTTTCTGCTAGGTACGTCCTGTGTGTTTTTTGTTGTGAGACAAATTAGGTAACGTTATGTTAGATAAACTATTATGTAACATAAGTTGTTACTTTAAATACTTGAATCCATTGTGTCATAGTTTTTTTTTTTTAATAAATGTGCATATGTATTTATTTAATGATTTTTTTTTGTAAATGTTCATAAATTTCATTCTCCCTCATTTATTTACATAAACACACACACACACGTTTACATGTGTGTATGTATATATATATATATATA